TAATAATATAAACATAATCAGAATACATGTAACCTCAAATATAAAGGTATTTTTAATCGCATTAAATTTAATTTAAACTTAAATTGAAAAACAAAAAATTGACTATTCTTTTAATTTGTAACATTGATAAGTAGGTATACCACTTATTCAAATCAGTGAATGAAAAATCAATAAAACAAAAATTCTTCGGTAAGAAAATTCCATTCATTATGAATTTTACTTTATAAAATCTGGTTAAACAGAAATTCGATTTTGTTTACATCAAAACATGGAAAAAGATAATTATTTTTAATTTGAATGATTTTATTTTACGCTTTCTTGCAAGAAATTAATTTATCAAAACAGATTTATTATTTGGGTCTGGAATTTTTTTAAATATGATCTAGAAAATTTGGAAAAGTCATGAAATTGATAAAGAAGTACTTCTTCATTGTTTTATTATTATTAATTATTATTATTTTATTCCTAAGAGTTATATATTTAAAATTTTGTATTTAAATTCTCAAATATTATATCACAAAATTAAGAAATACCCAATAGTTTTGTATTAAACATTTTTATTTCTTATACAAACTATTCCTTCATTGTAAAAAAACACACGTGTGTTTATTTTATCTGTTTCAAGGTAAACATATTGGAAATATTATCATTAATTTATACCATAAGTAAACTAACTAAGTATACATTTTATATATATTTCAATATCTTGTAAAGTAAAACACACGTGCTTGATAGAATTTTTAACCACATGACACTGTAGAAATAATGACAATTTACTTTTACCTAAATCTAAATTTGCGAATCTTGCATGCTTTTGACTCATAAAATCACCGAAAATTCATTTATTTAAATGAACCCGAGGCGAAATTTGAATCCTCTTTAGCTTCCCTTAGAACCTAAATAGGCCCTCTTTTGGATCTTGTAGACTCCCTTAGACCCTTCTTTGAATCCAAACGTGGAAGAAAGGGAAATTTGCGACTAGTTGAAGAAGCTAAAGAGAGTCTAGTTCGATTAAAAAAGTACAAAAAATACAAAAAAATACTCTTTTAATTATTTTGATTAAAGCAAAATGAATTTTTTTCATGCAATTTTTCTTTAATTACCCTTTAAAAACTGAAATTAACATATTTTGAAGCGTTTTCAAAAAATTAATAGAATTAGAGCAATTTCAAAATTTTCAATATTTTAATCAATTTTTATACCCTACTTTGAATCCAAACGTGAAAGAAAGGTTAATTTGCGAATAGTTGAGGAAGCTAAAAAGGGTCTGTTTAACCCTACTTTACTCCTTGTAAAGTAGGCCTTAAATTTTGCCTTGGGAATCGTTCAGAAATTTAAATGCACGTTTAATGTGGTACTCTAAAGTTTTCTCTATCTTTGGTGTGGCTCTCTTTAGAAAAACTGACTAACGATCGACAGGGCTGTTACGCCGTTTATAATACCTTTCTTAAGAAAAAACTACCTTACGGCCTTGTTTGTTTTCCTATAAATTAGTCTATTTTTGACAATAAATAAAGAACTTTTAAAAATTCAACAAAATGTTTAGAATTTGATGAGAGCCATTTCATTCATGATATTTCTATACCACATGTACTTATCATTATCAGTATGGTTATACTTTAGCTTCAGTTTTAAAACATGGCCTAATTCTCCAATATCCACGAATCTATAGTTTTCAACTTTAAATTGGGTTCCTGGTAATAGAATGACATTTTCCTGTTTTTCTTTATAAAATTGTTCAATTTTTGCCCTTACATATGATCCATTAAATACCATTTCATAAATAACGTTTAAACATCCTAATGTTGGATAACCAGTAAATCTCATAGCAGATGCAAAACTTGTAGAAGTTTGAGTAAATTTTCTCAGAGTAATGTATTCTTTAGAAGATATTATTCTAAGAATTGTAATTGGTTTAGATTCGACTCTAAATAATTTTAAGTCAAACTCTCCGTCTGGATCGTCAGACTGCCTTATAGCCAATTTATACAATGCAATTTTCATTAACTTTGCTTCTTGGGCGTCTCCTGTTATTCTTGTATATCCTGTTGTCGCGAAATTTCGTATGGCATAGTAATCATGAAATGTGACAGCAAAACTTGCTTTCTCTTCATTGTAATTTTGAATTATACTTTCTATCGATGTTTCTTCTTCAATCTTACGCCTTTCTGCTTTTGAGTAAAGAGAATTAATTCTAAAATTACCATCATAATTTGATACATTGTGGACTTCAAATCGGGTGTCGTATCTTAATTTACTTAATCGATCAGGATTATCTATTATAAAGTTACTACTCCAAATAGGTTCTATAAAGGAATCGTTTTTTAACCAAAAATTAATAAATCGAGTGAGAGTTGCGTTATCTGGAAATGTGTATTTTCGAAGCATATTTCTTATTTGATTTTCAGAAACATTTGTATTTTTCAAAATGAATTTTATGGATTCTTCTTCGTAGCAAAATTTTTCATTTAAACGCTGACGCCTTCTGCAACGATTAGCATGTCTCCACTTATTGAAATACTGCATATCAAAACATTGATGATCATAGTCATCTTCTTGAATTACTATTCCAGAATATAAAAGTCTAGTTGGTCTCCTTATAAGTTTGTTATTAATTTCATACATATTATGATCAGGTTCAGGTTGGAAAGTTTTCTTATTTAAAGCAATGTACATTTTCTTTTCTTTTTCCATTTCCCCTTGTGTAAGTATTCTTTCATCTTTTAATTCATAACCAGTTCTGACCTGTGCAATTTTTAACTGTATATCAGAAATAAAAATAAATTTATAACCATAACCAGTATTACCTCGATTATCTACAATATTAACGTAAACATCTTCTTTACTTTTTACACCAATAGTACCAACGCGTTTGAAAAATGTGGATTTTAAAATTGATATCTTAGAAAGACAACTTATGACTGAATTAAAACTGAAATCAGTTTTTTCTTTCAAAGAATTTGTTATGTTTTCAATTACTCTTATCTCATCTTTAGTTGTAAAAGTTAATTGAAATGCTGGATCTTTTATGTGTAAGCAGATATCTTCGAATATTTTATTCATGTTTAACCTTCGCCGGACTGGATACTTTTTATATACACGGTTGACAAGATCCCACCCAGGGTGGGCCAAATGTTTTCTTCTTTGTATATTGCAATAAAAACTTAGAATCATTCAGTTTTTTTCCAAAATTGTTATATGTTACCAAATAATATATTTTATTAATGTTTTGTTGATTTTTTATTTGTTTAAACAATTTATTATTAATAATTTATAACTTTTTCAAATATACATACGACAGTAGAAGAATTTTATAAATTTGTTACCTTTTCTTCGTAGTTATTAATTCAAAGGTTATAAATAAAATAAAATATATAATTTAATTTGCAACAACTATTATTATAAATTGTTTAAACAAATAATTGTTGCTATTTATTAACATTCTTCATAATATTCCTAGAAAATTGCAATTTTTTCTAATTTTGCAACTTAACAAGCACAACATAATAACACAAAGATTTTATATGAATTTACTATTTAACCAATTGTTTAAACAAATAATTGTTGCTATTTATTAACTTTCTTTATAATGTTCCAAGAAAGTTGCAATTTTTTTCTAATTTTGCAACTTAACAAGCTCAACATAATAAACATGAAGATTTTATATGAATTTAGTATTCAAACGATTGTTTAAACAATTTATTGTTGTCATTTATTAACTTTCTTGTAGTGTACCTAGAAAGATGCAGTTTTTTCCTAATTTTGCAATTTATCAAACCGAATATAATATAGCCAGACAGATTTGACATAAATTTACTAATTTAACAATTGTTTAAACAATTGTTGAATTTACAATTTTACATCAAATCTATCTTTTATTATATTCGGCTTGATGAGTTGCAAAATTAGAAAAAAACGGCAACTTTCCAGGTGCTGTACAAAAAAAGTTAGTAAATAATAACAATAATTGTTTAAACAATTGTTGAATTAATAATTTTACGTCAAATCTATCTTTTATTATATTCCGCTTGATAAAATTGCAAAATTAGAAAAAAACTGCATCTTTCTAGGTGCAGAACAAAGAAAGTTAATAAATAATAACAATAAATTGTTTAAACAAATGAAAAATGCAATATAATATTTTTTATATCTATTATTTGACATCATAAAACACTCACAGTGAAAAGTCTGCATGATTTCAAGTCTTTTTGTAAAATAGAATTAAAAAAATATCTGAATCATCCCGGTTATCTCCGTACATACATTGATAAAAGTTATAAATAATCAAGAAGAAATTTTTTTTTTAAAATTTGTTTTTACATTTTTTGAAAGTTCTTAAGATTTTGTTCAGTGACTTAAAATCGCGATTCAATTAAGGCAAAACTCTAGAAGATATGGCAATTTCAATTTGTCTGGCCCACCCTGGGTGGGCATCTTGTCAAGCGAAGGTTAAGGAAGTTCTCTCGCAAACAGAAATGACGAAGAGTTAATTATCAAACTTGATAAACTGATAGATAATGGTTTAAAGAAGATGTAGTTAAATTTTTAGAGGTCTAGGTGGATTTTGACAAAAGATATAAATAATTTTCTCTTTTCACATTTAACACGGGTTCTTATGGGAAATTGAATTTTTTGGTCTGAAATCTCAAATTGTGAAAAATCTGACGAAAAGATATTACTGGAACTTTATATATATAAAGTTTAATAGCCAATGTTCACTTACTTTTAATAAAATTGATCAGACCTGGCTTAGGAGACACTCAATTAATTATTTTGTCTAAAAAAACATTGTATTTTGACAATCAGAAATTACTTAGCACAACGCTTGGCAACGTTGCGTCTTGTAGGTTAGGTATAGAAAAAGCGCGAAATTTGAAAGTAATATAAGTAGTATATACATATAATAGTATATTCTTCAAAGATTCATAATAATGAATAATAATTTGAATTTGCTTATAAAAAATTAAGATTTTTAAAATAATAAATTATTGTTATTATTATTTAACGAAAATAAATCAAACAATAGCAGACGACACGAAACGGAACGGGGGAAGTATAATCCAACGTTGCCAAGCGTTGAGCTTGTACTACGTGATACAAATGAAAACTTAAATGGGCATTGATTTGACTGACGTTGGAGGGAGAGAACTTCCTTAATGCGTTTAATATTGAAATGTTGTATTTATATCTTTTTGGTACAATTTCATCTATTACTTTACTAGTTGCAATTTGAAAAAATACTGCTCTGAAAAGTGGACCTAATGAATGTTCATCATCATCTACATAATTTATATAAAATTGTGAACAACTTTTCTTGGATGTGTCTGACAAACAAGGATAATATGGTACTAAAGATAAACCAAATTCTTTCCACCAATCACTTTTCAATGGTTTATCGATTCCTCGGTAATTGTCCAAAAAATTTAAGTATGATTCTAATCGTGATTTTTTATATTTTATTAAATTTTGAAAAAATTCTCTAAGATTTTCCTGAGCTGTTTTCATAGTTGTATATGTAACAACACTGTATAATTTCTGAAAATGGAATCTACTTTCTCGTGGCAAACGTTCAGGATTATCAGCTTCATTGGTTAATGTCACGCTGTAATCTTCTCTTCTTAAAAGATAGTAATTAAAACTTTTATTATTTGGAAAATAAAATTCCAATATATCATATGGTAAATGTATTAATTCTGAAAAATCACCTTGTTCTACTGTATTGCTAGGAATTAGTAAATTTATAACGACTTTAATATTGTTAATTTGCTCTATTAGAGATGGTGGAAAGGCGTCTTGAACTAATTGAAAATCATACGTTTCATATAATTCGGTGATGTTATTAATTTGATTTTTAGTGTATTCTTTTATATTAGGTAGAGGATTGCCATCTTTGCATTGGAAGGTTGTAGGATGAAATAAGTAAACGGGAAGTATAGATTCTTTTTCATTTAAAGTTAAATGTGTACAATGTTGGTCTATGAAAGTTTTGGCCAATGCGGCACTACTTTGAAAACTAGAAAGTGCCATATGCATATTAAGTATGTAACCACTCTTTAACTTATCTTTCATGTCATTAAATGCATTAGTTGTATATTGAAATAATTGATTATAAGCAGTCTTCCAAAAATTTAAATCGGATATTAAATTTGCCATGCTTTCATAGGCAAATAAATATTTTGATTTAAAAATATAATACGAAAGAGCTGGTAGAGCAAACGCTTTTATGAGATTAAAATTCTTCTTGTCGGTTTCTATTAATGTTTCGATTACATGACCGGTTATTAAGTATTGGTCAAATAAATTTTCTTCAGTCAAAATTTCAACATGGCTTTCAAAATCATTGTAATATATAGAATTTATTCTTCCAGCTCGGAGAAACATTGAACCAGCTTGTGCATAAACATAATCAAGAGACAATAAACTAATATTGGCTTTTGGTCGAGGAAATAGAGATAATATTATGTCTTTGAATATTCTGTCTACTGATAAAGGACTTAACGTCGAGGTTTCACCATATTCGTTTTCAAAAGACGCATTGTAAAAATTTACTTTGATCGCATTCAATACAGTTTCTATTTGTAAATTTTCTGCTTTCAAAAAAATATCAGCCAAGAAGGCATAAATATTACCATATTTTTCAAATACTAGGGAACTAATAATGTAGTCGAACATCGCATTAACAAATGTGATATCAAAGTTTTCGTTGTCTTTTTCTCCATAAAGGTCGCTTCCTTTTAACAAATTTCTAATTAATTGATCCATTTTGATTTTACTATTCTCATGATCTTCCAAATATTTGTAAAGTGCATTGACTATTGGAATTTGTTTACTTTGGTCTATTTCGGAAAGATATTCTTCAATAAATAAAAAATCACTTAGGATATTTATATAATTAAAAATTGGTATTAGCTGAACTGTTTCTAGAGCATTTTTAAATGTATCCATTCTTGAAGGTGGATTTTATAAGTTTAAAGTTTGTATTTACTAATATATAAACAATAGTTAGCTATTTCTGTTTTTAGCTGATTCTGATGTTGATTTTTTAATTTGTATAACAAAATTACTGTGTACCAAAATTAACTTATTATCTGTAAAATAATATATTTAGTTGTTGAAAAATTAGTATCTTTCTTTCTGAATTTAAATTAATAAAATGTTTAACCAATGTACTAAACAATACTCTTTAATTTTTATAAGTATTATAATTAAAAGTTTAACATAACAGTAAATAGGAATATTAAATGGTTGCGGATATAAAAAGTGCACAAAAATAAAATCTAAAACATGTTTTATACCTTGTATTATTTATGAAACCTTATAGCTGTCAATAATTATTTTTTTGTTTTGTTAACTCTTTATATGAAATATTATTTGCTATGAGAGTTACCTCTCTGATCTACACTAGAGAGAACTACTACACTAGTTTGTTTCATAATTATATCCGTAAGTTGATATAATTTATTTTTAATTTTTGTTTACTTATGAATATTTTCTTTTGAAATGTGAATCGTTTTATTGATACAGTTAAAAAAATAAGAATTATTTTATTATCAGTACGTAGATGTTATGTGAAACTATATTGTTAATCGCAACATAAATTGTAATTTAATTTTTAAATATGAGTTAAACTTCATCAAGCGTACTCATCTCAAAAAATAAATTGTTTTACTTCTAAACTTTGAATTAACGTTAAGAAAAAGATTCCATTTGATATAGTCTTTCTTAAAATTTAAAATTCATACAGACATCTCCATAAAATTTGTAACGTTTGCAATTATTGAATCTGATTAGCTCGCCGTGCCAGGGTTTTTTGACTTAAATAAAAATAAAACAACGGGTTAATTACAAATCGAAAACAAATTTTTTATTTACAATATTATTTACAAGCAATGCAAAAATTGACTAGACGTTTACGGACTGACATCAAGTTTCGTACGTTAGTTTAATATATCGTGAACCGCGCTATTGGTTCCATTACGATAAAAATATAAAATAACATGAATGTAGTGATAAAGACTGCGGTAGCAATGATAATTGCGATCAGTTCGCAAGATTCGCGAAACATTAGCGACGTATTGTACGTAACGATAAAACTACTGTAACGGAACACGGATGCTATTAAACGAGTAACGATGAATAAAATATGATAATTCGCGGTTTGCTCGAATTCGCGGGAGGATTTATTAATTGTGTTAATCACGACGTCAAAATGATATTTGATTTAACCGGCATCCATCTGGTGCGTCGAGCCGTAGGGTGTAATAGGCTTCGATAGGAATCGAGCCGCAAAATCTGCTTAATCGGCGTCAACCTGGGTATTAGAACCTTTGAAAAATCTTCTTCTTGGGCGATGTTCCTCCTCCTATCTACGTAAGAATCTAAATGCGTTCGAGTAAAACTCGACATACATCGGTTATTAGAGTAAAACTCTACCAGCAAAGAGTAAGACTCTAGGCTACTGCAGAAATGTAAAACCTTACTGCTCTGAGTAACACTCAGTTCTGTACTTAATTCACAAATCCGCCTCCTTTTATACCCGCTCGACTGTCCGTGAAGTGGTGGGGACGAACGATAGGATCGAGCATCTGGTGGGGGGAATCTCTCCGTCTGCGTGGTGCTAGGTCGATTCTGGGTTGATGGCGCGCAGCTTTTCGGTCTGTGCACTGGGTCTTTCTCCACCATCCGTTTCTTTGCCTGGGTCTTTCGCTCGGTCTCGCATTGCTTAATTTCTGCGCGCGCACGTCTGTCAGCTGGTTATCGGAAAATCAATAATGTCGCGATTATTGATTTAACGTTTTATTATTCTCTTATCATTGTTATTTTCTTATACCTAATATTTATTTTTAGTTATTACAATATTACAAATTACCGATCGATCTATTCAGAATTGTACAAGAAAATTTGACGAAAAAATGAAAATTGATCTAACAATCACATGCATTTATTTAACTTATAAACTTGTCAATTGTTAACATTAAAAAAATTAGTGGAAAGAAGGGCAAGATGGAGTACATAGCATTTGAAACTCAAGTATAAAGACATAAATAATTTTTTAAAAATTAGAAAATAAAGAAATATTTGTAAATAAATAATGATTACAATAAATTCCATATTTATTTTATTAGTCGTTTTTCACTATTTTTGCCATACGAATAGACACGTGTGGTTCAATATGAAACTTCTGTTCCAAGAATAAAGATATTTCTAGAAATTTATATGTGCTTGGTTAAATTTCTCAATATGTAGCGCTAAGAAAATTTCGTCAATTATTTTTTAACAAAATTTACATTTGTAATTTTTTACATCTTTGGATTATGTTTTTAAAAGTAGTTTATGACATTGAAGAAAATAAATTGCATTTAATTAATTAAAATGAAAATTTCAAAAAAGAAGGAGAAGTTGTTTAGTACACATTAAAAGATTTTCATACATTAAATCATTTTATATATATTTCATTTTTAAAATTAACACAAATGCAGGGTTACGAACATAATATTACGAACAGATTAAATTTTGGTATTCGCAATTTCTTTCATAATATTTTTATACCATACATACTTATCATCATGGATATACGTTAGTTGCAGTTTTAAAACATGGCCTAATCCTCCAATATCCACGAATCTATGGTTCTCAACTTTAAATTGGGTTCCTGGTAAAAGAATGATATTTTCCTGTTTTTCTTTATAAAATTGTTCAATTTTTGCCCTTACATATGATCCATTAAATACCATTTCATAAATAACGTTTAAACATCCTAATGTTGGATAACCAGTAAATCTTATAGCAGATGCAAAATTTGTAGAAGTTTGAGTAAATTTTCTCAGAGTAATGTATTCTTTAGAAGATATTATTCTAAGAATTGTTATTGGTTTAGATTCGACTCTAAATAATTTTAAGTCAAACTCTCCGTCTGGATCGTCAGACTGCCTTATAGCCAATTTATACAATGCAATTTTCATTAACTTTGCTTCATTTGTGTCTCCTGTTATTCTTGTATATCCTGTTGTCGCGAAATTTCGTATGGCATAGTAATCATGAAATGTGACAGCAAAACTTCCTCTTTGGTCATTGTAACTTTGACTTATACGTCCTATCGATGCATTTTCTTCAATCTGACGTCGTTCTGCTTTAGAGTAAAGAGAATTGATCCTAAATTTGCCCTCATAATCTGATATATGATGGCTTTCAAAATGTGAGTGGTATCTTAGTTCATTTAAGAGATCAGGATAATCTATTATGTAATTTCTACTCCAAATAGGTTCTTTAAAAGAATTGTTTTTTAGACCATCATCTATAAATCGTATCATAATTGTTTTATCTGGAATTGTGAATCTGTCAATCATATTTCTTATTTGTTTTTTAGAAAGATTTGTATTGTTGTTAATTAATTTTACCGCTTCTTCTTCGATGTCAAATTTCTCAACGAAATGTTGTTGCCTTCGACAACGATTAGCATGTCTCCACTTATTAAAATACTTAACATCAAAACATTGCTGATCATAATCATCTTCTGAAACTGGTATTCTAGAAAACAAAAGTTTAGTGGGTTTCCTCCAAAGTTTGTTATTAATTTCATACATATTATGATCAGGTTCAGGTTGCAAAGTTTCGTTACTTAAAGCAACATATTTATTTTCTCCTTTTTTCCACCCCTGTTGTAAAAATATTCTTTCATCTCTTAATTCATACCCAGTTCTCACCAGTGCAATTTTTAACTGTGTATGAGGAATAAAAATAAATTTATAACCATAACCATTATTACTTTTATTATCTAGAACATTTACGTAAACATATGTACTATTTGAACCAATAGTACCAACGCGTTTGAAAAATGTGGATTTTAAAATAGATATCTTTGAAAGACAAGTTATGACTGAATTAAAACTGAAATCAGTCTTCTCTTTTAAAGAATTTATTATTTTTTTAATTACTTCTATCTCGTTTTTAGTTGTATATGTTAACTGAAATGAGGGATCTTTTATGTGAAAAGAAATATCCTCAAACAACTCATTTCCATTTACTATATTTATTATTGAGTTATGGTATTCATTTCTTTTTGGTACAATTGCATCTATTATTTCACTAGTAGCAATTTCAAAAAATACTTTTCTAAAAACTGGACCTAATGTAAGTTCATAGTCATTTAAATAATTTATATTAAATGCTGAACAATTGTCCCTGGACTTATTTGATAAACAAGGATAATATGGCACTAATGATAAACCAAATTCTTTCCACCAATCACTTTTCAGTGTTTCTTTGTTTTCTCCGTAATTGTCTAAAATTTTTAAATATGTCTCCAATCGTGATTTTTTATATTTTATTAAGTTTTGTAAAAATACTTTAAAATTTTTGTTAGTTGTTTTTAAAGTTTTATGTGTTGACATATTGTAGAGTTTTGAAAAGTTTAACCTCCTATTTCCGTTAAAAAGATGTGGATTATCTGTTACGTTAATTAATTTTACATTGTAATCTTCTCTTTCTAAATAATAGTAATTGAATGTAATGTTTTTCGTGAAGTAAAATTCCAAAATATCATATGGTAAAAGTTCTGATACTGAAAAATTACCATGTTTTTCTGTATTGTCAGGAACTAGTAATTTTATAATAACATTTTCTTGTTCAAGTTGCTGTATTAGATATTGTGGAAAGGCGTCTTGAACTAATTGAAAATCATGTTTTTCATATATTTCGGTGATATTATTAATTTGACTCTTAGTGTATTCTTCTAGATTAGGTAGAGGCTCGCCATCTTTACATTGAAAGGTTGTAGGATGAAATAAATAATCTGAAAGTATAAAAACCCTTTCGTTTGGAGTCAAATTTGTACAATGTTGCTCTATGAAAATTTTGGCCATTGCTGCACTACTTTGAAAACTAGAAAGTGCCATATGCATTTCCAATATATAACCATTCTTTAACTTATGTTCCATGTCACTTAATGCTTTAGTTGTATATTGAAATAATTGAATATAAGCCATCTGCCAGAAATTTGTATCTGATATTATATTTGCTATGTTTTCATAGTCAAATAAATATTTTGAATTAAAAACATAATAAGTAAGAGCTGGAAGAGCAAATACTTTTAACAAATGAAAATTTTTTAAATTTAGATATTCTTCAGTTTGAAGTAATTTGTCAATTACATATCCGGTTGTTAAGCATTTGTCAAAAAAATGTTCCTCTTGCTGAATTTTAACACTGCTTTCAAAATTATTATAGTATGTAGTATTTATTCTTCCTGCTCGGAGAAACATTGAACCAGCTTGCGCATATATATAATCGTAAGACAATATATTAATATTTTTTTTTTGTGGAGGAAATAGGGGTAATATTATGTCGTTGTATATTCTCTCCACTGACAAAAGACTTAGCGTCGAACTATCGCCATATTCATTTTCAAAAGAAGCACTGTCAAGATTTATTATTATTTTATACAACACTGTTTCTATTTGTAAATTTTCTACTTCATGAAAAATATTTGCCAAAAAGCCATAAATATTACCATATTTTTCAAATACTAGTGAACTAATAATGTATTCAAACATTGCATTAACAAAAGTGATATCAAAGATTTCGTTGTCCTTTTCTCCGTAAAGGTCGCTTCCTTCTAATAAATTTCTAATTAATTGATCCATTTTGATTTTACTATTCTCATGATCTTCCAAATATTTGTAAAGTGCATTAACTATTGGAATTTGTTTACTTTGGTCTATTTCGGAAAGATATTCTTCAATAAATAAAAAATCACTTAGGATATTTATGTAATTAAAAATTGGTATAAGTTGAACTGTTTCTAGCGCATTTTTAAATGTATCCATTTTTTAATGTTGTTTTATAAGTTTAAAGATTATATTTACTAATATAGAAACAATAGTTAGCTATTTTTATTTCTCAGTTGTTACCAATGTCAATCTCTTTTATTTCGATAAAAAAGACACAGTGTACGGAGACTGGAATATTATCTGCAAAATAATATACAGTTATTGAAAAATTAGTATCATTCTCTCTATATTTAAATTAGTAATATATTTAACCATTTCTCTGATACAATAAATGGTTGTCTGATAATTTAATATGGCAATAAACTTCATTTATTTATTAAAGTCTACATGTGTTTTTTACCTTGTATTGTTTGTGTATCACTGCACCTTTCACTAATTGGAGTATTGCTACAGTTGTAGCTGTGATCTTAAAATGATGATTATTAGTATACTTCATGCATGATATCTATATATACATGAGTTGTGAAGATTTAGATAAAATTTTTGTTTAAATAGAAATAAACTGTTTATTCTGTTATTTATACAATTGGAAAATTAAAACTTTAGTTATAGTTGATAAGAAAATTTTATTTTTTTTGGTATATTTCAAAAATAATTAATTATTTCATGTATTTGTTACACATGTGTGTGCTTCCATTATCTGTTTTAAGATAAAGACATATTGTTAATATTATCACAAGAATTTACTAAAAATATAAAAATGATACGTTTAAACAGATGCGAAATATTTAGTTTTTTGTAAAATTAATGTTTTAAACAACCCAAGAAACGATTAAAACATAAATTTTTCAAATGCCGGAGATATTAATTTACCACAGAAATATTGACACTTTCTTCTAAGAAAAAAAAATTGTATAAGATATATTTACCAATTAACGTGATGATGTAATTTCATTACGACTTCGACTTTTACTTTTAACTGAAATGTTTTAATTAAAATCAAAGTGAAAGTGAAAATGAGTGAAAGTAAAAGTCGAAGTCAAAATAAAATTACACAACCCCATCCTATAATAATGATTGAGAGCGTAGCTTTAACGTAATTAAGAAACAGTGAATTTCCACAGAAGCTTGAATAGAATTTCGTATGCCGGTGATGGTTCAAAACCGTTAGTTCGACGACAGTCTAAATTGAAGAGTAGAATGGAATAGTTAAATTTGTTGTAACTGTGAAAAGACATTGAAAAAAGGGTTTGGTTTTGACAATAAAACATTTAGTTGGTATTTAACCAATCAAAATGTTTTTGTTGCCTCAACAAATTTTAAATTGTCCCAACCAAACTTTAGTTGACACAATTAAAATTAGAAAAAAAGGATTTTTGTTGTTTCAATAACAGTGTATGTTTATATCTAAACATAAAATCTATACAAGTGTCTGAGAGATTAGGAATTGTGGACCTTTAAAAATTTAACTATTTGCACTGTGAGTAGGGAACACACAAGATCTGCATGTATAGATATTACAAGAAGACCCTAGTGTTTCCTCGCCTCTTCGACCGAGTTACCCAACAGTTTGTGTCGCTGATGGAATAATGGTCCATTTGGGATGCACGTGCTGTCGCCAAATCCTCATACCCCTTGCCGCACTTTCTCACCCTCTCCCTTTACAGCCTTCGCTCGTATTTACATGTAATTTCGGGCAATTAATATTTATGCCGGCTCGTTCCGTACGTGCTCTGAACCTTCCAGGTAACTGTTCCCGAGAACAGGCTTGGGTTTTCAGAGATTCTTCAAATTTGATTTTTATATTAGACTAAACATTTTTTTTTATGAATAATCTTTTACGTCCGAGTAGTATTAAGTAAGATAAATAAAATAAACGAAGACATTCGGACCAAATGTTATAAATATATTTCTCCAACGTACGATTTCCTCTTTAGGGAGTCTATCAAATTACAATAATAAATTAAAAATTGATACTAACAAAAAGGGGTTCAGAAAATTAACAATATAAAATTCTTACCAAAATAAATAAAATAATAAAAATTAAAAATGAATGATTGATTCCATTATCACAATTCATTTCAGTCCATTTTTCATCCATCATAATTCACAAATTCATCAAGTACAATTAAAATAGAATAAACGTTGGAAAACAATAGAGATTGGAGTCATCGACTAAATATAGAAGGAAATAATAATAAATAAAAATATATTGATTAATAATAATATTTAAGGAAATTAAAAAAATAATATAAAAATAATATAGAAGTAAAATTAAAAATTTTTTAAAATAAATAATTAACATAAATTATAAATAAATAAAAATAATAATAAATAATAAATTAATTACGAACCAATAGCATGAATATAACTAAATAAAATATTAATTAAATATTAAAAAATAAAATATTAAAACATTGAAACTATTAAATAAATTCATTAAATTCAGCTGTCAAACTTTAGTCAGTTAAAACCATCAAGTCACGACATCAACTGAACTCCAAACCCTATTATTTCCTTACAATAATTAATACATACAAAGCAGACAATTAATACTTATATAAACTAAACAACAACCAAAAACAAGCAATAATGAGTATTTTCAAGAAGAATTTTCAATTTGAAATAAAATTCAAAATCATTTCATATGATTTATTAAAGTTATCTAAATCTGTAATTTTATTTAAACTATTATTTCTTTCTTTTTTTATATAAAACATTTCTGCAAATAATCGTTTACTAAGATTTTTTTCTGTATGTAAAATTTTAAAATCATCCCATTTTATAAAATGAGGAAAAGTGTCGTTCCTGCAGTCTGTCAAGTGGTTGCTAATTACATTATGGTATTTTTCATTTCTGTCAAAATTTTTCATGTGTTCTTGTCTACGAATATGTAATGGTCTTTTAGTTTGTCCCGCGTAAGTCTTCCCGCAATTACATTCAAATATGTAAACACAATTACATTGGTTAACTGCTTCGAGTCTATCTTTACCAAGTTTTATAAATTTATCAAATTTTGAATCATCACTAAAAACTGTTTTTATATCAAATGGTTGTAACAATCTTTTGATATTCTCTGAAATTGTTCCATAATATGGGAAAATAACATTTTTATCTTCTTCAATATCTTTATCATTATCTATACTATTCTTTTTTTTATTATTAATTTCAATTAATCTTCTTTTTATGTGTTTGTCTATAAAATTATCTGGATAATTATTCAGTTTTAAGTATGATTTAACCAAATTAATATTTTTACTATGAAAACGTTTATCAGAGAGTTATTATTGTAATTGTAATTAATTATTGTAATTTGATAGACTCCCTGAAGAGGAAATCATACAGGTTTTGAAACGTTGGAGAAATATATTTATAACATTTGGTCCGAATGTCTTTGTTTATTTTATTTATTGTTTTTGCAAATGTTACCTAGGTCGATAATTAATAATTTGATTAAATTAGTTAAAAGAATGGTAGACTAATTTTGTTAAGTAATTTTTTTTTAATATCGTTGCACTTTAATAAAACGTAAAATATAATGAGATGGGAAACAAATGAATTTTCGCACGCGCGTGTCTTTCATATGAATGTTTATTCTTTTCTCCTATATAGAAAGATAAGTAACATAAATTTTGAAAACGCGAAACTGTGTTCACTATGTTCTCGGTCGTTCTTCAAATGCAGGGATGATGGCTCTACATATACATGTAAACGTGTATCCCTCGTACTTTTAATATTGCCCGCGTCAGTGTTGAAGTATTTACGGCTCCGGTGGCATAAAAGCCTGGCATCCTCGTATCTATACCCGTGTCCTCTCTACTAGGATTCAACTTCACCATACCCCCACCTATTTCTTCTTTTACCATATTCACGGTACACCTATATCTCACAACACGACGCAAACATCATGCCCACCAAGTAGTATCTGTCACTATAATGCTTTCTTTTTGTCATTTTTTTTATCTATAACGCTTATAGATTTTAAAAATAATTTTTTACAGTTCCGATTGTTTTTCTCATTTTCCATGCAGTTCAATATGAGTCACTGCTTTGAAATATTTTTGAATACCATAATATATTGTTTTTTTTATTTGTATTATATTTCAATACAAGTTCACAATTTTCACAATGCATTTTTAAATTTTAATTTAAATTTAGAGATGAGGCTGAAGTCCGCAACGTTTTCAAAAACGAATAATTAAAATGGAATTATTTTTTCATGGTAATTTATCTCTAATTTTGATTTGCAAAAACTTTCAAGAAATTAATACTTTTATAAAAACCAGTTACCCCCGAATAACATTAATTTTAACCCTTAATAGATATTGTCTAATTATTTTTTTGTTTTCGTTTATAAAAACGTTGCAGACATCTGCATCATATTTAGAGAGACTCTAAAGCACGCAACATACTCGGTTGCATTAATTCATTTTTTGGGACTTCAATTGGCCATTTTCAATCTGCCATTTTAAATTTTTCAATTTTGACTTCTAATGGTAAAAACAAATTTTCTTCTATATAGAAACATGTTACATGATTGTCTGGATAGGTGTAGAGGAAGACACCTATTACCAACATTAAAGCGCTTTTCGTAAAAAAAAAAATTTTCAAAAAAATTCAATTTTTCTTAGGCAGACTATTTTATTGCATTTTCTTGCACAAAAAACACGTAAAAGTGTAGAAAAAAATTGATAGCCCGATCCGAGTAGAGGAACACCAATTTTATG